ATCTGTTATTTCTCATCATGTCACTGAGTCAGAACCTGTGGTATCAGACAGTAGATCAGTGATCTGATTATGGGGGAGTTGAACCACATGTAATCTCAATAAAACAAAACTCAACATTGGAATACTTTAATCTGAAACACTTAGTCACAGACATGAAAATAAAGTTTTTTAGGTTTAACTTTTACAGCAGATGGAGCAGGTTTGACACAAAAACTAAAATATTGGTAGAAAGTCTGGTAGAGCAGAGTTCTGGAGTTTAAATGGTTCTCCAACTACAACCAAGAACATATTTCATCTATTACTGATGGGCTGACTTCTCATGTTCAGACCCACTGAACTGTTTCTTTTTATGCTTATCGAATTCATAAACTTATTATAGAGATGCTTGAAGATGAACTCTTCATAGTTCCTATAAATATTCATGAGTGCTGAAAGTTTTTAAAAACAAATGATTTCAGAAAGTATTTGATAAATCAGTCCAGCATGTACCAAAGATCTTTATGAATGTCTGGAGTTTATCAGACATTCCAGCAGAAATTGTCCTAAAAATGTGATAAAAAAAGATTCAGAAGCTCATTTTTATTTTTGACGTAATTTTAAGAAAATACCAAAATTAACAGAAAAAGTTTCTGCAAACAGAAAGTTTCTAAATTTGGGGCTGTTTTCACTGAAGTACCTGTTCTGTGGTTTTATTGGAAAGTTTTTAAAAAGCCACTGAACTGCAGCTGCTCCACCAGAAGACTTCCTGTTTACACAAAACCAGTTATTTCTGCTCAAACACCGACACATGAAGCTCTGTTTGTTCATGTTGACTCTCAGTATTTACAGCTTTAACAGCTGATTTCTGTCATCAAGAAAAGAAATTTGAAAGTGAGTTTATGTTGAACGCCTTCTTCCTTCTGTGTTGACTTTAATCTGCTTCCTGAGGGATGAACTAGTCGGCTCAAAGAAACCTGAGCCCAGTCAGAGACTTCAGGTATCAGAAGGTGTTTATCAGCGTTCTTTGTTAATCAGACTTTCTTCTTCAGACTCTCATTAAAGGAGGCGTTTAAGATGTCATGTGACTCTTCTGCAGTAAACGGACCAATCACGTTCCTCCAAATTCAGTCAGCAAGTCGTTTTAATGAGAACAAGGAGAAACATAAAGGATTGTGACTGTAAAGAGCTGCTGATAATTGATAACTGACAACTGCACATTAAAGCTGTTCAACTTTAAACTTCATGTATTTTAAATCTGATGTTGAACTTAAGGTCATTTAGGTCTGACACTGTCTCATAATGCAGGAAATCACCTTAATAACGACAAATCAAAGTGAATCAATGTTCCTGATTTAATGTTCTCTGTAATAAATACCAATAGATAATCAATGTTCTAATCAGTGATCTATCAGCCGCAGAACCAGCAGAGTAAACATAGAAACATGTTGATGTGATGTCTGCATCAGAAGCTGAACACATGTAGGTTTCCATGGCAACAGGATGCCTCCAGTGTGTGATGCTGTAACTGCTTCATTCAGTGGTTTTAGTAACGCACAGATCAGCAGGTTTGCATCATCATCAGGAAACAGTTTGGTTACAGGGAGACGCTGAGCAGAACCTGGACCAGGTCAGCATCAGTTACCATGGAGACCTAACCAGGTTAAAGAAAACCACCTTCATGACACTGAAAGCTCTGACTGTAGGCTCAACAGACCTCAACAGCCCACTAATCATAGTTCAGCCCTCTGACTGACTGGTTCTGCTC